TCTTTTCACTTTCATTTAAATCCTTAGGTTCTAAAAGTGTTGTAGCTAAATTTAATGCATCCCAGTTAATCACACAGCGTCAACAAGTTTCCCTTCTTGTACGAAAAGAATTGATAGAACGAGCAAAGGATTTCAATATTATCTTGGATGATGTTTCTTTGACTGAATTAAGTTTCAGTAAAGAATATGCTGCTGCTGTCGAATCTAAACAAGTCGCTCAACAAGAGGCTCAGCGAGCTGCATTTATCGTCGAACAAGCTAAACAGGAACGACAACAGAAAATTGTCCAAGCTGAGGGAGAAGCCGAAGCAGCGCTTATGATATCCTTTTCATACTTTTCACAATTTATTTATTCAATTTTTAATTTTTTTTTCATTAGCTCAATTTCATGATGAGAATTTGAAGAAGGCGAACTTAGTATCTTCAGAATGAGAAAGTCCATCAATCTTAACTTCATTCTTCTCTACACGAGAAGAGGGGTATAACCCTTTTAAAACTTCTTAAATGGAGTTGTAAAAGGTGGACGATAAAAATTGACTTTAGTTTCACGAATTAGTCAAGTTAGTTAAAGCAATGCTACGTTGATTAGAATACTAAGTTGCACAGAACTTTCTCACGAAAGTTATCTTCATTTATTCCAATGATTTAACCTTTAGTAATCTGATTTCAATCTATGTTCAAGTTTTTTCTTCGTCCAAAGACAATATTTTCCTTAACTCTCTTCTTTACTTAGGTGAGGCCATCTCAAAGGACCCTGGTTACCTTAAATTAAGAAAGATTCGAGCTGCCCAACACATTGCTAAAACGGTAAAAAATTTGATTATTGAGTTGCACTCAACTATTTAAAAATTCACTTCTAAAATCATCAATTCTCTTTTTAGGTCGCTGGTTCACAAAACAGAGTCTACTTGAATGCTGGTTCACTCATGTTGAATATTGCTGATAAGGAGTACGATATCACATCGGAGACAATCAAACCCGCTAAAAAATAACCAGAATATGATAAATTAGTTCACTTAATAAAAAAATAGTTTATTCATAGATTTCGAAGAAATGTCAAAATTTTGTTGCAATTCCTTATGTATTGATTAAATCTTTTTTCACCTAAACTGTTCTGTCATATTTCTTTGCCAATTATCATATTAATTTTGCTTGATTATTAATTACAGAGGCAATGAAAGTGTTCAAGTCTATTTCATCAGCCTGTTTATTAGAGCTTGAATCACATTCCTTTCATGATCTAAAAATAGCCAACATCCACTTTCCTTAGATTACTGAGAAACATATTTAATTATTCTAAATAATTTTCATTCCTATCTTCTGATGTGAAACAAATATTATTTTTTTATGCTACTATTGACGCGAATAATTCATTGATGCAATTAAATAATGAAACTGAATTTAAAATTTAGCGCGATATTTTCACCTCAAATGCTGTGAAATTAGCTTTTGGAGTTAAACCTACTCAGTTAACCTTGGCGTTCTCAAAAAAATTTGTGACACTTTGATTACAATTTCTTCAACACTTTATTTATTAAATTGTTTGATTGTAATAATTTTAATTATTTTTCCTCATTAGTTTGTGATCTTGTGAATTCAGCCCTCTTCAAATTATGTCTGGAATAGTGCAGAGCATCATTCATCATTGTAAAAAGACTCCAGCAGTAAGTATTCATTATGCCTCACGTAATATTATTTACCCCATTCAATTATCTGGTTAATTTTTCTTCTAGGTTATCCCAATTGTTATATTCAGCGGTGGAGCTGCTCTCATGGCCGGTTCCTATCTTATGAGGTTGGCTTTACAAACACCTGACGGAGTGTAAGTTGACCATTTAATTTAAAATTTCTTAGGCTTGTATACCTATTGAATCAGGTTTTTAATGAATATTTTCTTATTATCTTCACCTTCATCAGAGGTATTATCAATAGACAAAGGGAACCTCACAATCGGTATCAGAATAAAAACTATAAGGTAAGTTTCTCGAATATTATAAGATTATCGTTTAATGGCCATACAACCATCTGATTGCAATTTATATTTCCTATCTTTTCAGTTTTTCACCTATTTTCGATGC